ATTCCTTTCAAACAGTTTTTATACGTAACTTAGACTTTATCAGAATTTTTGGTCAATTTTTCAAGGTTAATAGCATCAAGTATGAGTTTAACGTTCTGGTGAATAGTACATATACAAACGCCATGAGTTCCAGGAGCCCTTGCAATTATACATTGTTTTAGTCGCAATTAGGCAAATTTACTGAAACTTACTTTTAAATTTGGGGCATTTTCTTTATACAAAATATACAGCTCTTTCAAGTCTACAAGCGTAGGTTTTTTTTGTATCAAAACACGACCTTCTGGAGTCTTCATAGACACGACATCTCTTGTACCAGGCATCATTCGACTATTTTTATCATCAATACAAAACTGCGTTATATTAGTAACCATTTCTGCTGGCAATAATTTTCCACTTTTAGCTGTTGTTTCTGCTAATACGCCGCATTCAGCTCTTAAATCTTTTGATTTTTTGGCCAACTTGCCACGCTTAAACTCCATAGCGATTTTTTTGGGACTCCAAGACACTGAAGCGATTTCCCAATACACGCAATTTTAGTGGGTCAATAAATCTAATGAAGAGAATTTTTCTTTTAAACCATTTAACATAATTTCTAGTTCAAAATGCTAACAAAATTCGTTTATTGGTACATCATGTATATTTTTCGCTCTTGTATCCATAGTATCTTGTAGCTATATTAAGCTTAAAGCTGTACACTCATATATGCTGCTTTATACAGTCACAATCCATGTTTTAATTTTTTTCAATCTTCTAGTACACATGACAACACCAAACAAAATTTATCACTATACACTAACATAATGCACGATCAAATTACTAATTCATTTGGTCAATCCACTCTTGATTCCCTTTTTTTAATTTATTTACAAAATTTTCTATAAAGCTTAGTGCATTCTGGCGATCTTAGCAAAGGACAATTTCTTTCACTTGACGGCGCCACCTGACATACGCACATAGCGAATAAGAAATCCTGGATATTCTTATAAAAATTCCTTGGAGAATTCTCATAAGAAATTTTTGTAAGGGGTTTTCGTTTGCCATACTAGATCAGCTGTTTTAAATTTCTTGCATATAATGTATGTTACGCAAGTCCTAACCCAGACCATATGTATATACCTATATATGAGACAATAGCGTGTGAACATAACTTATTACGAAGTGTAAATAGTACTTGGACTTTAAGGTAAGGAAAGCAATTATTCAAAATCGCGCAATAATTATGATAAAAAAGTTTTCCGTAACTAAACATTCAAAAATTCTTCTATTCTTTCGTTAATATATTTTATATTCTTATCAAAATGAAATTTATACATACTTTCGAAGGTTAGAAACACAATGGTGTAAGCTAGCGTGTCAATTTGAGCAGAAGTAAGTCAATAAATTAATTATAGTATACAGTGACAGTCTGTCCATAATATTCACTGTTTCGTACACTTGATACTCACAAAAATAAACATAACTTAATTTTAAGGTTATATCAAGAAAGTGATACAATAAAGAAATTATTTTTTAGATTTAAAATGAGCTACTTAATTTTAATACCGTTGTTAGTATCAGTTAATGGCAAGTACAAACTATTGGGTTGACGAAATACCGAAAAGATTGACTTCCTACGAGATTTTGAGGTTATTATTGACATTTAAAATGCACATTTAAGCCTAACATGAGATTCCATAATAGTAACGAGTACAGACCTGTATACTCATAAAAAAGTACTAAAGTGTATTTTTTCTGTAATCATTTGAATGATAACGAGGTTAACACCAAATTCAAGCCACCATCTTAGATTAAAAAAATGATTTTGGGCAGAATGCCCGTCAACACATAAAACTATAAGGTAATACCTCTATTTCAAGCCTAAATTCGTTTTGATTAACTCAATACAATTTGGGACAACATAGGGTCGTCACTTGACTAAGAATGACCCATATATATATATATATATATACGCGTGACTCATATATGTACGCGCTCGCGCGCGCGTGTGTGTGTAACAAATGTGATATCAATTTCAAATGAATCGTAGAATCACCCGATTTGACGGTTCATACAAATCACCCGATTTGAGCCAATGAAGTTAAAACAGTCAGATTTTTATCATTTCTTTTTTAGTAGCTTGATTTTCTTTAATCGTTCCCATGAATCATTCCACCTGTAGATTTACAAACTCCTTGACAGAAATTGTACTCATTCAAACTTTGTAAGGGATAACTGATTGTGATAAAATAACGGTAAATAGACTGTCCGGTTCTTAAAGACGCAAGCAAAGTAGGAGAACTCGAAGAAGCCTTGTCTGGAGAACTAACCATTAGCAATCCTCTGTCAAACTGCATAGCAAGGTGATGGAACCATATGAAAGGCCAAACATTTGTGCATGAAGTCAGAGCTCTCGTCTGGAGGACAAACCTCGAGACAAGTTTTTCGCTTGGACGTACACATCTGAGGACAACCCCGATACGATATACCCAGCAACCGTCGTCAACGAGTGTTAAACGTTCATCCTGAAGCTTCTCAGTACGTGTACTCTACCTTAAGACTCACCCGCGCGCGTTTAGCTGTCCCACTATATTCTGTTGACCATTTAAAAGTAAGTTAGCATCAATTCTCTCTTCCTTCTATTTCTTATTTTTCCAAGACCATTCAGTCCTTAAAATTAGGTGCAACTTCGTAATCTTACAATACCATTTGTAAGATAACTTGCACTAGTGAACTAGAGCAATGGGTACCCGGACCCTACGCTTTAAGTTCAACACTAATATATGTACGGCTTAACTTCGAGGCTGTCTAACCCCAACCGGTGGCAACCTGGTGGGAAGCTCGGACACACATATATAACAGGCGTATTCGGGAAGGAGCACACCTCTTTGCCTACTACAACCGTTCTAACTTAATCAGTATCTTAACGCATATATTTTTGCTGAATTAGCCTAACCCTACCGGAAAGTCAGACAGTGTATATGTGATAGAAGCAGTGTAGTCGTGACCCACACTTCTGATTTAAACGTAAGGGCCGGCCACAGCACCTTTCACCTAATTCCAACATTATTCTTGAATCCTAACAATTTCCCTGGCTATTAAGTGCAAGCTTAGGCCTAAAATTAATTATATTTTAGTTGCGTTCTTTCAACGTAACACTGTTATCTGTGTTTGAATAAATAATTATTCTTTTTTTCTAAAAAATCTTATTCAGTTTTTTTTTAAATTTTACATCGAAACGACAAGCTAGTAAGAAAGTAAACTATATAATAGTACATCACGTATCAAGGGAAGAAAGTACGGCATAAGCGGAGACGAGGGTAGCTAATACCTGGGAGATGATGCCGCACTTTCTTGTAGAGGCTTGACTACGATTTTTTTCACTTCCTTTACCTGAAATACGACGTTTTTTCATGATTTTGACGAAAAAATTGCACCTTAATTTCTTAAGTAAAAATCAAATTAAATAATTATCAGGAAAAAAAATTTGGCATCCTCTGAGAAGCAACCATGCAGAGAATATCAAAATATTATTTCTATGACGAGTACATGCGATTTTTTGCCTGGAAGGAACATTGCAATCTGCATCTTAAAAACAGAAAACGAAGTAGTACTTTTGCTGGTAGTTTAAAAAAAAAATTTTTTAATTGATACCTGTATGTTTCATTACCTAAATTTATTAAAGAACTAACCAGTCGTAGTTATTACGACATAATATAGAAATTAATTAAAATACAAAAATTAAAAATTATGGATTACGGAAGGGGTGACAAAAATATCAAGCAGAATCCGTAATAAAAAGGGTCTGAAGAAGTGGAAATACTCATTTTCATAAGACTTAACAGAATGTATGGAATGTAAGAATATTAAAATTGACTCTAATTTATCGATGGGTAAGTATTAAATGCGAGTACTTAAATTTATCGAAATTTCCCATCCAATACGATATTGCCAAGGCAGCTTGACTTTTTCAGTTAAAACTACCGTTTGTAGAAAATTGTCGTACGTAGCAATTGAAAATAAAGTGCCAGCAAGACCAGGACTTGAATCTGGAACTCTTTTCTTACCGGGGAAGTGCTTTACCAATTTTGCCATCGAGATTTTGGTCGAGTTCTGGTCGAGGTGGCACTTTTCTTTAATTGCTACGTATGACAATTCTCTACAAACGGTAGTTTTAACTGAAAAAGTCGAGTTTCCTTGGCAATATCGTATTGAATGGGAAATTTCAATAAATTCAATTACTCGCATTTAATGCTTACCTGTCGATAAATTAGAGTCAATTCTAATACTCTTATGTACGATATGAGCAGGGCGTTGGACTGAAAAATCGCCGAAAAAGTATAAAATGTAGCAATTAAGAAGAGGAGTCGCCGAGACCTCGATGGCCAAATTGGTAACGCACTTTCCCGGTAAGAAAAGAGTTCCAGATTCAAGTCCTGGTCTTGGTGGTACTTTATTTTCAATTTCTACGTACGATAATTTTCTACAAACGGTAGTTTTAACTGAAAAAGTCAAGTTGCCTTGGCAATATCGTATTGGATGGGAAATTTCGATAAATTCAATTTTTCGCACAGAATGTATGAAAATTGAACTTTTTTCAAAAAGTAATGTTTTGTATGCCAACAATTCGACTTATTTTTCCTGATTTTAAAAAAGATTTCCATGAATTTTTCCAGTAAAAAAAATTGCATTTGTGGTTTATTAGTAAATAGTAGGAAACTATTTAAGTGTCTTTATGGTTGCTTCTCTTGCCTTTGACTTCAGAAGAAATTTAATTGCAATGAATATTAAACAGTTTTTCTGCCATACTATCGTTGGTAATATTACCGATAATATCAATTCTTGCTGGAAAAATTCTTATTTTCTTTTATCTTATTAATTTTTGTATATTTAATGTGAACTGTTTCGTGGCTGTTCATATGTTTGCTCGAGTAAAAACCAGTACTTTTTATAACTTTAGCGCAAAACATGATATGATAGCAATGGATCAAAAACGTACTAAAAACAAGACATACAATTTTCAGGTATTTGTCATACAGAGCATGTTTGTTGAATCCGGAGCTACTTACGTTGTTGGCTAATTTTCATGCAGCTAATACTTACTGGATAATACAAGTAAACATGGATATAAGATCACTAGACAATAATCTGGATTGTTATGCTCCTACTGAATTCAGACCGGTAATATTCCCTTGTACAAAAATCGTTCCTAAAACATTAAGGTATGCAAGAGCTGATACGCAAAAGTTATTTTAGTAAAAATTGAAGTACAAAAAGAAGAATACTTATACTTCCTAAATTTCTAGATGCATTCCTGAATTTATAATTGAAAACTCTATCAGTTTCATAATTTTTCTTAAACGATGGTGTCCTAATGTTTTTGAAGAACATGGTCTAAAATTTCTTAATCCTATCTTAACAATGGTAAGTCTAATTTGTACCTTTATTATCCTATATTATGTAGCTACTACAATTAAATACTGTTAAATATTAAGATGAAAAGTGTTCGATGTAAAAACACAAATGCCACTGAATTTCCATTTTAAAAAATTGTAGTACACCAAATTCAGACTTATAGTGTGAGTTTCAAGTTAAAGAAAATATTAATGTAACACGGATTAATAATAATAGAATGTAGGTTGTGAAAATAAGGTTTGTATGCTCAACATTGACATTTAATTCAATTAAATAGTAAGACATGAGAAAGCACAGAAAAAATTTGACATATCTCTTGATACGCAAAGTAGCATTAATGAACACAAATTCCGCTGCCTAATAATTGACAGCTCATTATTATTTGACACGTGGTAAAGCAAATTTTAAGAAGGTGTCCAATACAGCTTTAACTAACCCTAATATCGATGTTTAAAGAAAATCCTTTTTTTCATAGATTTGATAACACACCAACAAAAGAAGTTGTAAGTATTAAATTTATCTAACAAACAAATGCGAGAATATGTGAATCTATTATATACATACATATATATATATACTCCTATATTATATCGTTATCTCGGTGGGGCATTCCAAACAACCCCCCCCCACAAAATAAGGTAAAAATCCGTCATTTTCTCGCTTATTTCGACATATCGCAGTTTTTTCCAAAACCTCCCACAGACCCCCCCCCCCCCACGTAATTATTCGATCCTAACTTTGGCTCCTTTTTAAAATTTTTTGAATCCGTATCAAGCATGTTTTTTGTCTTTTTAAGCCGCACGAAACGCACACCTATTAAAGTTTAAAAAAATCTAAATTAAGCAAAGTTATGGACGATGAAAGATATCGATTTTTCGAAAAATTGTATTTCTTACGATTTTTAAACCCTAATGAATTCTTTCGATATTTATCATTCCTGAAAATTTAGAGAGATATTTTTTAAACATAGAGGAATAAAGTCTTATTGGTCCGGTCAAGTCAATTTGACTTTAACTTTGACTTTCACGATGATGAAGTTATATATACATTTTTTTTATTTTGCTCAAAGTTGAATGTTTCATTCAGCATTTATTGCTTTTTTTTATTGTATTTTATTGCACGCAAGGAAGTTTAAAAGTTACATTGTTAAAGTGGAAGTCAAGACCTACGATGAGCCTTTTTTTTATTCTCTTGGTGGTCTAAGACCAAAGTTATCGCAGTTTTTATCTTAAGTGATAATTGAGATCCTTGTTAATTATTAAAAATTATCGTTGATAATGAATGAAGTAATAAAGTATATTAAATTTATAAATGTGTATAATTTCACTGTTTAATTAATAATTCCTACAATTTTATTATACAAAAGTCACTATCGTTTGAAAATATTTTGCATTCTATGGTACAAGAATCGATTGGTCGAAAAAAATGGTATTTTCTTAAATGTTTCAAACTTTTGACAGAAACAAATCTTTGTGACAGTTTTTTCCTCTTACCAAAACTTCTTTTTCCGAAGCTTAGAAAAATCTGAAATGTCACAATTTTGTAATACTTTTCTCGATACGTTATCAAAAAGTATCGATACCAAAGAATCCAGGCCCAGAAAGTATCGGGTTAAGTAACGATTCTTCACAAAAAGTATCGAATATTTTTTAGGTATAAGTAGATTTTCAATAATTGACAAGGATGTCAATTAATTCTTAATATGAAAACTGCCATAACTCTGGTATAAGACCACCTAGGCAATAAAAAAAAGGCTAATCGTAGGTCTTGACCCTTACTCTAACAATATAACTTTTAACATTCCTTACGTGCACTAAAATACAATAAAAATAAGCAATAAATGCTGAATAAAACATTCAACTTCGAGTAAAAAATAAAAAAATTCATATAACTTCATCATCGTAAAAGTCAAAGTTAAAATCAAATATACTTGACCGGACCGATAAGACTTTATTCTTCAATGTTTGAAAAATATCTCTCTAAATTTTCAGGAATAAAAAATATTGAAAGTATTTATTAAGGTTTAAAAATCGTAGAAAACACAATTTTTCGAAAAATCGACATCTTTCATCGTCCATAACTTAGCTTAATTTGGATTTTTTTTTTAAATTTAATAGGTGTACGTTTTGTGGGTCTTAAAAAGACAAAAAAGATGCTTTATACGGATTCAAAAAATTTTAAAAAGGGGCCAAAGTTAGGAGCGTTTAAATATAAGCTGAAATTGCAAAAATACGTCGTACCCGGACGGAGCCCAGTCAGAGTGGTGGTGAGGAAGTCAACCTTAATGTTCACCGATCGCAGCGCATGCAAAGTGTCCCACCGGGTGGCAGAAAGGTCGAGTCTAAAGTCCTCATCATTAAATAAGGTGAAGTCTCGGAGGAAAATGCCTCTCACCAACGGTTCAGACACCGAAAAATTGAACTTCCACATCAATACATCGTGCCCGAAGATTGGTGGTACTCGGAATCGGACGCTCGTAATGATCCTGGAGCGGTCGCTGACACATGTATAGTCAGTAGTAGTGTGCGAAGATTTTGTGTCATAGGTAGGGCTAAATTGCAGAGGCTCAAGGTCAAACGCATCAAAAAGGATGGTGAGTATTCTTCTTGGTGAGGAGTACGTAGCCCAGTCGATGTTGAAATCGCCAACCAGTAGAGAGAAGTCATACGCGTGGCTGCAGTTCAGCGAAGCTTCCTCCACATCAGACCAGTAGCCGCTTATGGGGGGGCTGCAAACTACTGCTAGTGGTATCGAAGTGTTGCCGAATCGCAATTTTCTAAGCATGTACTCCGGTCTCACTAGGCTGTGTTGCTGAAACAGAGAGCACGCAACATTTCACCGCGATATGAATCACTGACGTACGCGGCTATACCCCCGCCGATTCTTCTCTGTCTATCCACACGTAGTAAGCAGTAGCCTGGCACATCGATGATATTGGTGTGTCTCAGGCTTCAACCCAGTCTCACTGATGGCTAGAACGTGAGGGGCATGATCAGTGATTAACTGCCTCACATTTGAGTAATGAGGCTCGAGCGATTGCGCATTCACGTGATCGATTTTAAAAGCAGAGGCACTTTGGGGTGCCATAATCAATCAGGGATATGATTCGCTCTATTCGTTTGCGTAGTAGTGGGCATTTACCTCTATCCGTGGCTGCGTGTGAAGTGACTGACAATTTACTCGCCAGACAGTAAGCACAGCACACCGTGTTGTTACGGGTGCACTGTTTAGACTTTGCTCTCCTGCACAGAACTCGCAGCGAGAATCAGCACTACAGTTCCTCGCATTGTGACCAAACTGAAGGCACTTGTAGCACTGTACCAGAGAAACATGATCATTAAAGTGACATGCCAGCGAGCCGGCGCTAATTCTTGTGCGCTGACAAAGTGCCGCTCTGACAGATGGCTTGACCTCAATAACACACGACCGCAATTTTTTGCTATCACGTACCGGATATAAATAAACAACTTGAATGTCTTGAGTGGTGAATTATTTAAGGTTTTGATCAAAAAAGAATCAACAATGTATTCCTTGTCAAGTTCCATCGGAATGTCATGCACAATTAATCGTGGGTTTAATTTAAGGTCCGGCTTAATTTCGAGGCCAGCGGCCGCGAGTGCCATGGTGCCAGCGAGTGCCGAGACGTCCAACTACTCACTTTCAACAGAGCTCTCAAGCCCATAAAGCACCCGTTGTACGTCTACTTTCAGGCTCCTGGGATTTATGGTACGAAGAAAAGTTTCCTTGGTGGCTCTTAATGACGGAAAGTCTAGACAGCGGCTCTCTATCGGGCCAATTGTCAGCCGTTTGGTTTGCCTCGCCGTGAAAAACTTACCAGCACCCAGCGAAATTCTCGGCGCTGCAGCAGTACCATACATGCGTGACAAAACTTCAGCAAAAGAGAGGCTCCCAGAGTTGGGCTGGGAAGCAGTGGCCATAGACTCAGCTACCTTCTCAATACGCTGGCACGTATCCCGAACTACAGTGTCGCATGTATGAACTGATTGCTCTGCGTGTAACTTACAGAAATAGGTGTTGGAGATTTTAGTCAGCATATCAATAAAGGAGCTTATAGCCGCTTAAATGGTCTTCCTTATAGTGGTCTCCTTCTCGTCAGCCAGGCACAAGGCATAAGGAAACTCGAGTATCATAAATGTAAACAGAAGCAAGGCATCTGATACCGAGCAGAGAGAGTCATAACTATGTTTTTGTTGTGCAAAGCCGAATCATCAAGCCAGAGACTGCCCACATCGTTTTAAAACTTGTAATTACTACAGGAAAAAAGGACATTGGGAAGCAGCGTGTCGTAACAAGGAATCAGATATGAAGCAATTACAATGTCACGACCAGGAGCCCTATTCCACAGACAAAAACATGGAAGAGCTTTATAAACAATACAGTTTCTACTCAATAAGCGGTGAGAGTATAGATAAGTTTGAAAATAAAGGTGATAAAGTTGCGTATACGAATAACCAAACCTAAGTTTATGAAAATTAATATATAAGTTAAGATTTCGGATGTGGAAATAGATACAGGTACTTTTAAAATTGTAATTTTGGAAAGGATTTTACTGGAAAAGTTGAGTAATTTGAACATTAGGAATACGAAAATAATACTGCATGGGTACGATCGTAAGCCGCTGCTGTCACTCGGGACAACTCGATAATATGAAGGTGAAGTATAACGGTTTAACATGGAACTTAGATTTGATTGTCATGCCGTGGTCTGGGTCACTATTAATAGGTAAAGAATGGCTAAAAGCATTTAATTGGTGGCCTCTGGAATTTCCGAAATCAAACCAAATTAATAAAACTGACGTTTCAAGTGTAAACAAAGTCATCGAGTCGGAATTCGCGGAATTGTTCAGTCATGAGCGAGGCGTATTGAATAAAGGCGAAATGAAATTGTATGTAAAAGATAGTTCTGTGCCTGTTGCGCTTAAGGACGTTCATCACAGTTATCGGGGCAAAACTTGAGAGTGGTGAGGGGAGAGCGAGCATGCGGCAGTG